CGGAGGAGCGGCTTCTCGGAGGTAGATCCACACCACCGCCCTTTCGCTAGCGCGGGGAGCCCTGGAGCGTGCGGGGTTTCTGCTAAACTCCCCTGCGCTGTCCCTGTGGTGAAACTGCCCTAAAAGGGGGGTTACTCTCCTGATGAACTGCTCTGTGAGTTGCCGTGCCCTTCTCTCCCTCAGAAGTGGGCTGTTAGAGGACAGCCTGTGTGCTCTGGCTGGAAGGAGCACGGTGAAATGCCAGCCTGCTGCCAGAGTTCAGAACAACTGATTAAAAAAAAAAAAAATATTCCAAGAAAAGAACTTTTTCAGTAGACTGAGAAAGTAATGAGATGTTCCCCAAAAGACAGGTGACTGCAAGGGTCTCAAATGAAACGCCTTTAATCCATAAAACACTGTCTAAGCTTTTAAGAAAAGTATGTTATTGGGGGAAGGGCTGAGCTTTTTGGGATAGGCCCCTGAGATGCAGGACACTGACAAGACTGTTTGCTTAGAGCAGTGATCACCTGCCGTGGCACTGCAAGCTCTGAGCTGCTTGCCTCCCCTTAACAACAAACACTTATTTCTAATTAGTCTCTTTCCTGCTACCTAAAACCCTTTCTCCACTATTCCAGGGAGATGAAAAGTTATTTCTTAAAAACTTTCCCTAGATCATACTTTTAGAATTCCAGTGTTGATACAGCACTTTGGCCTCCTGCAGTCCCAGATGCCAGGCTAATGCAGCTTCACTAGAAAGGCTGAAAAACATACCCTGAAAAGAACAATGCCTTTCAGGTGCAAAGCGAATCATCTCTGTTCAAACAAATCTGCTTACTAAGCCCTAGTGCCCCCAGCACTTTTGTACTCCTCCTGAACCTTCTTGTAAGCCCCAAAGTGGAAAGAGAAAGGTGGTGTTCGTTCTGAAAAGATGCTATCAGGAACTGGTAAGATCTTAAAGCTTTACTACAAAAAGGATGAGTAATGCCTGCCTTACCTTATTCCATGCCTTGTAAACACATCCACTGTGTTAAAAGAATCTTCTTCTACTCCCAGATAAAAGTCCATCAGGGATGGCGGAATCCAGTCACAGTTATGAAGGCCTGGCTCTACTGGGACACGTGTGTATGTAATGCCATACTCCTCTAACACCTCTGCAAATACGTGCCTGACCTCTGTAGGTAAAAACAGAGACACTTCAGTCGGGAATTAGATAACCAGCTCATCATGTCCCCTGAAAGCTGTTAGTACAGAGAGAGCTCCCTTTCCACGTTTAAGAAAATATAATCCCATTTGGCTTCTCTTCTGCTGAAATGGTTTTCTTCATCTGGGTGGGAGTCCCCTTCTATACTGGAAACATTACTCCCTCAACATCTGCTATAGGTGCCTTGTCTCCTCTTCAGTGCTGAGCGTTTAGTCCAGCAACCCCTTCTAAGTTAGTGACTCTGATCCCAGAGTGCACCAGAGGTGACTGCGCTGTCAGGAAAAAGTTCTTCATCAAGTCCCTGCACAGCCAGATTTGTTGTGAGGGTAAATTGCCAAGAGCGATGTCATCCAGAGGCAGCTGAGTACTGGAGTAGGGAAATCTGCTTTTTTTTTTGCTCATGCAGTTTCCCATCGCTGTACCACAATGACTTTATTTGCAAAACAGGGACAAAGACACTTGCCCACCTCTGTAAAGCACGCTGAGGCCTGCAGACAGAGATTTGTGTGGAAACGCAACTGACAGGATGGAGTTCTCCTAGCACCTGAAGGAGCAGCTTTCCCAAACTCAAGCATTCCAGTTTAAACTGGCTAGTCTGCTGCTGGCCCTGGCCTGCCTCCTTCGATGTGGATGGGAGCATGGAATTAGGATGCTGAGGTGACTTATCAGTCCTTGGAGGAAAAGGTGTAACCTGGGCCATTTATGCCATTGTGCCATTGCGCATTCCCTTGCGCTGCTACAGGAACCAAGCAACCAATTTGGGCTGGGGCAGGACTGTCTTCCCAGGGCCCAGGTGGGAATGTTCAAACTGCAATTGTAGAGCAAGTATCTTACAGTGAGGTTTATTGCCCAAACAGGGAACCATCCCATCTGAGCTGACTCTCCAACTCTCTCACCTGCTTGGCGCCGGGAAGAAGAGGACTCCATTCTTACCTGGGAGGACGTGGATGTGCTGGTGCCCATCCATGTGAGGAGGTAGGTGACCTGTCAGCTCATGGAACAGCTCCACCTGGGCCTTTAGCTCCTGCTTCACCTGTGCAGCAGAGAAGGGTCAGAGCAAGACCTGTCAGCGGGCTGAGATCAGGAGAGTGCAAGGGGCTGCTGGAGACTTTGTAGGCCAGTATTCGGGACCTGGCCCTGGGAGGCACAGAGCGCTATGATGTATAAATGGACATGCAATGCTGCTAGGTTGCCCAGAACCTCCACTAGGCATGGGTCTCTTTGTGGTACTGGTTATGTGGATGGTGCTGATACCGGGATTTTCTAAAATACATAGGATATTTGAATACCCATTTCCCTTTAAAATGCATGGGGAAATAGGTTCTCATATCCCATAGGCAGTTTTGATCACCTGAACACATTCATCCTTGCTCATGGGGCAAAACCAGCCATCTCCCTAGAGAACAAAAGCCTCTGACAAGGTGATAAAAAGCGTACTGCCTACTTAGCACTTCCCTGGCATTTTCCCTTTACTGATCTCTAGGTTCTCAGGAAATATCTGTTCCTATGCCTCTTCTCCCCCCTCAGATAAGTAGCTAACAGGACATTAATGTATGCAGGCACTGAAGTAGGGAGGAATGAGTTCTCAAAGGCTGCAGAGCCTTTGGCAGAATTAGGCCCAGGACTCCAGCTGCCCAGGCAACACAGTCAAGATTCATCTCTAAGCTTACTCACAGCTGGGACCCGGGAAGGATCTTCAGCTGTTATGTGCTGGGGTAAGTGCAGGCTGATCTGTATCAGGAAAGCAAGTTGCGTGGTTGTATGTGGCTTTCTCCTACCTCTGACATATTCAGGAGACCTTTTGATAGAGCTGTTCTGAATCCCATTTTCCCATGGAAGAATCCATCCTGGTTGAGCAGAGAAGAGTTTGTCTTGAGCACCTCACATACAGGAGAGCCCTCGGAGAGGTTGGCGTGCAGGCCTATTGGGATGTTGTATCTGTAACAGGAATGAAATATCTGTTAAGCTTTGCACCTCTACCTCCCTTACTGTGGCCAAAGGGGGAGATTTCAGTGAAAGATCTAGACTGATCTAAAAAGTGGTGTTGTACTCACTGGAGTACATCTTCGTATCTCTGCTCTTCTAGAAAGGAAAGCAGAACGACACTAACCAGAGCAGAATATCTCCAGGCAACAACCCTGTGCAGTCTGCCAAGGGCCAATCTGTGAGACTCCTCCAACTCTGTTCTCACTCTGACTCCTGTGGAGAGAGCAGCCATGACATATCTCAGGCTAAATGCTATAACTGCGCTAAATGCTATAACTGCACGCTACTAGTAACTGCCCTGCAGTCACTAGTGACTAACAGAAAAATCTGGACTTTGCAACCCTTTCCTAAAGCACTTCATTAGCCCTTGCTAGGTATTCCCTTGAGTTATTCACCCTATTAAAGATGCTACGTTTATGAGACGTTTGAGTTTTACTTGACAACTTCTAAAGCTGCCCTTAAGTAGAATCCAGTCATATATAAACAGTGCCCAAGGCAGCTGTTATGGCAACAGCATAGGCTACAAGTGTAAATACTGCCTGAGTTTAAGAGTTTCCTGGTCCAGGAGGCTGCAGCTGAAATTGTCTGCAGTGGCCAGGTTTCTGTCTACTGGTGCAGATGATTACTCACTGAGTGACAAGGCTAAGCTGTACAAAGTAGTATCTCTCTGGCACAGAGGAAGGATTACTGCAGGGAGGTCGGCAGTGTAAGTGTAGAGCCTTGCTAAGGAATCACAAGGGTACAATTTATTAACTAGTTGCATTCTGCAACGTTAAAAAAAAAAAAAAGGAACAACTTATGGAGCTAGTGTATCTGCAGAGCTCCTCTCAGCCACAGGGCTTTGCAGAGTGCTGGTGTTTCCTTCTTGGTCTGTGTTGTGGATTCCCCGACAATAAAAACAGGACCTGCAAGTGCTCAGATTTGTGCTGAGTTTCATTAGCATTTCTGGAAATCCTCAGGATCAGTGGCCAAAATGATACTTTGAAACTTTTTCCAAGACAACCCCTGGCCTCTGGCTGACCCAGTAAGTAAATGACAGAACTGCAATGTTCCTTCTGTGCTGCCCGGTCTGAGTCATGGTGCAGAGTTAATTTCAGGGCAACCTGAAGTCTGTGATGCTTTAAATCCTTCCTGAACTTCTGCATGGAGCTGCTAAAACTGAGCATGGTCTGTCCCTGTTAACAGCCCTTGTACCACAAGGAGGAAAACAAAGCAATCTCCATTTAGGCAAAGTGTGCAAAAAACAGATCTTCCCCTTCTGTCTGCTGCCCTGAAGCTGAGTAGTGAAGCACCAAGTTACTGGAGACAGAAGGATTGTGGATGGATTGGACCAAGTCAGAGTCATTTAGCTCCTTCAGGTCCTAAGGCTTTGACCCTTGCAGGACTGAGTGTCTTTCTTCCTGGCTCCTCCATGTCTTGTGCTCCAGGTGGATGGTGTAGTCTGTTGCTAGATACTGCTCCTTCTCAAAGACATAAAAGTTATGAGTCAAGTTGTATGGACAGCTCTGTGAAACAAGTCTTTCCGGTCCACTGTGTGATTAGGGAGCTTGAATGTTTGCTTAATGGAGCAAAACAGCTTGTGGAGAGAAAGGTCCTCTCTGGCTTTTCTGATTTGGTGATTTCTCTGCAGCAGGGTCTGATTGTATAATTGATGATAAATGTCCATCTGGTTTTCATACATGGGGCCTGAGCACATGACATGTGCACACTAACTCCTTGCTAATACAAGAACTGGAAGATGCTGTCATTGGGAGTGGGGGCCCTTAAGCAGGCAGCTGATGGCAGGGCAGGAGGCAGCTACAGTACAGAAGGGGTGCTGTGGCAGGAGGCCTCCCCCTCCATCCTGTGACCTGCTGTGTATCCTGCATGAGCCCAAAGGCAGAGGGGGAGCCTGTGGGTTTGTTTTGGTTTTTTTTAGAACTCCACCCCAGATTCTTTATCATGTCTCTGGGAAGCTCTGACTGCATCAACTGGTAGCATTATTTGTACCACAGCCACTGCTGTCTGCAAGAAAAAAGATTCATGTGTTACCATGAATCAGCAGATGGAAGGCTTTTTTTGTTGAGCACTCTCCTTCTCATGTGTTGTGGGAGGGCAAGAAATGAACAGCTGAGCCTCTCAGTGTTCGTCTCCCAGGAGCATCGAATGAACTACCTCCAATTGTGCAATGCCTCAAATGCTGCGAGGGAAGCTATTTCCAGGAAAAGACAAGCCCCTCCGACAGGTGTGGGACACCAAGGAGCCAAGCACTGCGCTGCGTAACATTACAGCCGCTCCTCCACCTGAGCTGAAACCAGCCCCAGAGCTGGAGAATGTGCAGAATGTGGAAGTGCAGAGAGAGCTGGCCTTGTTCTCGCTGTAAGGGGAGGCTCTGACTGTAACATTAGAGCATGTTTCAGAGCTTTGGCTAACACCAGCTGAATATCATAATAGTTTTCTCTTAGAGTTAGTCCTGGATGGTTTGACAGACAGTCCATGCTGAGGCATCTAAAGAGGAACTGCTAGTGTTTAATGGCTCTGGGATACAGGGACTGAAACCAAAACTCAAAACGCAGCACGTGAGAAACTTGTTCAGAAATATTCATCTGTGGGAGATGCACAGAAGCAGGCATGCTGGGAAAGCTGTAAGCATATGAGAAGGAGGACAATGCAGCAGGCACAGCAGGGTTCTGCTGCTAGCTAGCATTTTCCTGTACCTAAATAGGTATGTTTCCTCTGGATGCAATGAGCCAGATGATGCTCCTATTCAGCACCAAATGTCCTGCTGTCCAGTGTTCATTCCTAACAGTCCTGACACTGCATGTAATTAGCTGGGCTGTACCTTGGGAGACAGGGCTCTGGTCATGCTCTGTCCTGACCAGAGGCTTGGGCTTTAAGACTGAACCAACAGGCTTTTTTCCCCCACTGACTACTACACACACTGGACTAACTCTTGCTCCTGAGTGCCTCTCACCACTGAAATATAGCTTCTGCAACCAAAGAGCAATGCCAAGGCATGCTGTATTGTAAAAAAGGCAGGGAGAAAAGTCAAGTTATGGGAATATCCTAGAAGGGCCCTTTTTTCAGAGGGCAGATGATGATTGTTTCTGCTACACAAACATACTTTATAGTTGCCCGCATCTTTTCAAAGACTTTAAAGTATCTGCTATTTTATTGGCTAAAATACTGAAGCAGAAACCAGCAGCTCAAGCAGCTTATATAGCATGTGATGCCACACTGGGAAAAGAGCTCAGCTGTTGTGGGTTTGGCCTCATACCCACTCCTCTGCCTAAGTCCTTTATAGATGGGACAGGGTGAGCCCTGCTGGTCATTGCCAGTCAAGTCTAACTGCTAATTGCTCCACCCAAGATACAAAATAAAAGGATTGGCATTGAGCTTCAAGCAATAGTTTAGTTTCTGCGATAAAAGCCCTGCAATAACAGCTACCGTTGCCAAAACAAAATGATGCTGAGGAATCTACTTGGTGTCTCTAAACTCATTTTGGTGGTTGTTTTAAGCAGCAATGACCCTTCCACAATCTGTTTGGAGAGGCCCAAGTCTAGGTGTTTGCAAGTCTGTCCCACTGCCCTGAAGAATGCGCAGACATGAAGCAGGATTTAGCACAACGGTTCCGTTCACTCCTGATAAAGCCAAAGGACAGTGTCTACAAGTGTGTGTTCCTATAGCATAAGGAGCATTAGACTGGGCTGCCTGTGGGCTTGTTGAGAAGAGGCTCAGGCCTGTAGCTTCTGCAGCCACTAAGGTTAGTCCATTAGTGAGCCGCTTCCACTCAGAGAAAGTTGGCTGTTAAAGCCAGCCTGGCTCTGTAGTTCTCTGCTCAGCATCTGCTGTAGGGATGAGGGGAAAAAAAAAAAAAAGAAAAAAGGAGATACCCTTACAACAAGTGCTACAAGGGGCAACAAGGAATTCAGTCTGGAAGGATTTCTGAGTTGACAAGCCCAGCCCAGTTACCAAATAGAGAGAGGAAATACAATCAGCTAAACTGCTTCCTCTTCAAGTAGTTGCTTGTTTTGCCACACGAGTGCTCTGAACAAGTGTTTCTGCTGAGGCAATGGGCTTTTGTGCAGTTGCAATCCCTGTCCATTCATATCCTTAGCAGTAAAAGGTCCCTGGAGACTGTTACTATACTGAGTCACTCTTTAAAGTGCCCACCAGCTTTGCATATTTCTGAGCTTGGTGGATGAGTAACAGTGCCCTGGGTCCTGCCTGGCCACGGCATGGACTCTGCGCAGTCCCTGCGTTCCTGGGAGCAGTTGCAGTGGCTGTGGGAATTCTGTGGTTCCCAGAGCCCAGTCCCAATTGTCTTGCTGAAGGCTGCAAGCTCTGGCATAAGCATGGCACTTACCCTTTTCCTTGATGGGTAAACAGATCCCACCTTCAGCATCCTGTTTGTATCCTTATCCAGGAAATTACTGGTTCATCAGGTTTCAGCCCAAGTGTGACGCAATTAAGAGCCTCATGTAAATATCTGTACCTAGACACCCTGCTTCAGTAAACATCCAGGTGTCTGAAGCCAGACAAAGCAAGGCTGTGCTTTGTGCGAAAAAGTGCACCTCTTAGTTTCTCCATGTTGGCATTTTCATACTTTTTTCTTTCCCCTTTTTAACCCTCCAGCAAGCTGTAAGATCTGTCTTTCATCAAATAGCATCTTGTCTTGCTCTGTTACTGCTAAGGACTTAAGCCTCTGCGGTGTTAAGAACTGGTACTATAATATAGCTTAGGGATGTGACTTTCTTTTTAATTACATCTTTGTATCAACTGAAGCTCCTGTGTCCATGACCTTACATCAGCAAAAAGTGCTGCTGCCAGTAAAGTTAATATGATCTGGAATTCTAGTTTAAGGCCTCAGCTCAGGGCCCACGCCTAATCCAAACACAGTTCAGCAGTGGAACTGTCTGCCTTGTGATTAACAGTCAGATAAAAGGGTGATGAGAAAGCATGAGAGACTTGTAGATTAGTCAGATGTTGACTGGGAGGGTCAGAATTAAGTCACAATTTACACACACGTTTTGCAATTAGTGTTGATGGGAAAGGAAGTGAAAACATAGACAGCAATTAAATGTGGTTTTGTTAGAGTCTTCTGTTAAATGTACCCAGATGTTGTGGGGGCTTCAGCTTTTGTGGAGCTGATGTTCAGCATTTAAACTGCAAAAAAACCAGGAAGACTGAGGTTGTGTTCTAAAATATGTCACTCTTCATCAAGTATTTGGATATAATCATCTGGAAAAGGGTCCTAATACTCAGTCACAACTGAGCTCATTGATAAAAGGGAGGGAAAATACGGCAGTAAACAATCTTAGGTCTCTCTATTTCTGCTATCTCCATATTTCTAAGGAAAAAAATCAAGAGACCTATTCATTTCAGGTAACAAAGTAACCCTTCCAATCTCTGGGAAAGGCTCTGCAATAAGCACCAGGAAGACTGGCTGACTTCAAGGTGGGGCTTGATAAGTAGAAAATCAAGATTGTAATATATGGATAACCAGGAAGTCACAGTCAGTCTATGTCCCGTAAAGTTTTGAGTTACTGAAAAAAAAACTGCAATGGAAGTCTCTTCTCCTGCCTGCTGTTCTGGTTATGGACTGCCCTAGCACTTGCAATCAATAGGTTTGTCATTTGGTGATGAATCAGGCGTCTGCTGAAACTTCTCTTTTGCCTGAAGTGACTGGGTCCCTTCTTTTAGCCTAGTTGTGACAGTGAATGAGAAAAGCCCAAGATCCAGACCCTAGATGTTAGGGAAGGTGTATTATTTACTGCTTGGTTCTGGTGTTTTGCAATTAGTTTGTGCTAGAGCTGGTACAAAGATCTGCTGACTACCATCACATTTCTGACAAGGCTTCTAATCAAAACACAGGGCAACAGATGGTATGCCCAGAAGCCTACAGAATTATTGTAAAAATGAAAGGAAGAATGAAATTCCAGAGGAACTATGTTCCTTTCTGAAGGATGCCTAGTCCTAATATTGCAGGGCAGCATGAGGTGCTTAAGGACTGTCCTGCAAAAAAAGTTGTCTTGTAACTAATTAGCTTTGCCTGCATCCAATTAACTGAAGACCAGGTGAGGAGAGAGAGCTCAAGACCTGCAGCGAGGAGCAACCATCAAGAAGCAACCAGATAATCTCCACAAGCCATAGAAACAGTCCAGCACTCTGACAGTCCTGGCACCATGTGTGCAAAAGACCAAATCCCACAATACTGAAATGCACCACAGGAAAGAACAAGCTACTTGCTTCAAGCCTCTTTTCTCAGCTGGTGATAGATCCAGTCTCCCTGCTTTCACCACTGTCTAGTCAAGGCTGAAATGTCTGCTACGGAGTTAAGCATATATGCATGTGTATATATGTTGCATAGTATATAGTACTTGCTTAGTTGGGTGTCTGTGGTGGAAGACAAACATGGGAAGAAAAAACAGGGTAGACTTTCATCTCATAAAACACAAAACGTTGCAAAGCCTCCACATTCACAGTGGGATGGGAGACACCAAGCAGGGGAAAGAGGGAATAACAGTGGCAAGACAGTCAAGCAACGGTGATACTTTCCCATTTCTGCACCACAAGATGAGGAGGATTCAATGACATTTCTAGTAAGTCTGACCTACTAGACATCTGTGTCTAAAAAGAGTTTGCGTGAACCTTTGCAATAGAGGAACAAATATCTTCAGGGTGACACAAGAGTTTGTTTACATGCACAGGTGCCAATTAAGTACATGTGTACTAGCAGCACCTGAAGTGGGGCTTGCATTAGAAGATGAGGAACCCTTCTCCCCAAACCTGCAAATGCTTTCCCCATGCGTGAGTAGGGCTGAATACAGCTGCAGAGGGTTACACAAATGAGGAATTGCAGAACCTGGGCTGTTGATCTTCAGTGCTGACAGATGTTCCCAAAGTCACCCTGCTTATATTCTCAGAAATAGATTTAAATCCATTTCATTCACATTTACAATTCAAAACTACCCCCCAAAAGAGTGAAATTGTAGCAGCAGGTTGCAGCTTCTGCTGTCACCTGCCCTCCAATCTGGCTTTTCACACCCATATCAGCTGTCAGCACAAGTGTCATGACCTGGATTCAAAGATGCTTTTTAAACCTCTGATTACATGGCCTACTTTCTGGCTATGGAAATGAGGCCAGGTGGATTCTATATTTAAAGGCCTGCTAAAGACCATGGCTAAAATAGCTGACAACATTACCAGAGCATTGGGGCTTAAAGGGTTTCACGGTGCCTCTGTGTCTGAGAGAAGTGCTGGCTTTTATCTCCTTGTTTTACATTTCATTTGTTTCATTTACTAACAGGATTTTAGGCATCTCAAGTGTTGTGTCCTTCTGCCTCTCCCTTTATCATCCCAGAGGCAGTTCCTCTCTCAGTGTTTCTGTGTAATCTCTAACCTTTTTAACAGAAGACTGGTTTGCCACTAACACCACACCCTGGCTTTCCTGCACCACCCAACATCAAAGAAGCTACAGGCTGCAAACAATTTCCAAGTACCCTTAAAATCACAGCCAAAATGGGGAGAGATGCTCAAGGAGAACAAGGACAGCATGATTCTCATGAAACTGTCCCCTGCAACAGCTGTATTTGAAGCATAAGGTCTCAGTTCTTCTAGTACCAGTACAGCTCCTTTCCTTTTCTGCTTTCCTAAATTGTTTCTCAACCCTGCTGCTCTCTCTTTCAGGACATACTCCTGCTTCCAAGTGCCTGCCCACACAGGAGCTGAAGCATTAGCTGGTTTTACCTTCTAAATACAAGTAGTATGTCCTATTAAAGGATTTGCTGGGCTAGTCCATGAGAATGACACATAGCATTTGATTTGCTACAGAGCCAACTGTGCCAGCAACCTCTGAAAAGTTTGTGAAGGAGTAAAGGTGGTAGGTACAAGGCAGGTAAAAGGTACTGTCTCTCTCTTTATGTATGCAGTTTTTACAAATGGATTTATCAAGCCTAGAATTAATAGAAATATTGAGGTGCTTTTTTAAAAGGTTTCTGGGGTGGAATCAAGTTTTCCACTGCCCCGATTTATAACTTAGCCCATGCAGAATCACACCTTTCCCTGATTCTGCAATGAACCTGGCTGACCCTGTGTTCAGCCTGGCTGAAATGCATCAAATTAAATGAGATTTAAAGATTTGTGCTTTTATGCTTTAATAGTTTTAGGGGTAGCAGTTTGGCCTGGGTATATAGTGTGATGGTGAAGTGTGGGAAAAGAAAGTCCCAACAAACCCAAACTCTACTGGTCAAATTGTGTAAGTGGCTTTCTATCCAGAGGAAAAAAAAGATGCAGTGCAGTGGCTAATACCAGAGAAAGAGCCAATATGGGTATGGTTGGCAGGTCATTGGTTTTACTATGAAGAGTCTTAGTAAATATGCCTGGAATCCAGTTTTCTTATACCAGCCTGGGCTATGATACAGTGTTTATACTGGGGCTACAAAATACTAAATTTTACAGGCTTGGCTTTCCATGGATAGCCTGTGGAGGCTGTCCACAAAGGAGCTAAAGAAAGTAGCTTACCTCCTCGCCAGCTTGGCTGCATCTGCTGCAGCACTTCCGTTGACTAGAAGGGACACATTAGATATCGCACCAGCCAGGAAACAGTCCACGATGCCTTGGTTTCTCCGAGGACAATAGCCAAAGTCATCTCCAGTTACTATTAGCTTCACCTGAAGCATCCTTAGAGGTCATCCCTAGCAAAAAAGTAAAGGAGGGAAAATCGGAACAATCAGCAGTCTGCAGATCACAGGCGAACAGGAAAAGACAGGCTCAACGGGAGTGAACCCAGTCGTGACTCAGCCCCTGACTAACTCCTCCTGCTCCACCTCAGCCTGCCGCTGTCTCGCAGCTTGCACAGCAGCCGGATTTGCGTGTGGCCGCCTGGCTCACACCACACCTGCCTGCTCTTGCAGTGAGAGCACCAGAGCCTTCCTTTCTTTGCGGGAGCAAAGGCCTGCCTGCACTTTGTATTGTTGTAGATGAGGAGTGTGCAGAAGGTCAGGGACTTCGTGGGTTGATTTGATCGACTGAGGGTGCGTCAAGGGTTCAAATTCCTTTCCCCGCTCCACGCCCTCGCCCGCGGTGCCCGGTGAAATGGCACCGGTGTGAAGCACCTGAGGCAGCCGCGGAGCCGTCATGCCTCGCTGTCACCGATCCCCGGCCCCATCCAGCGCGGCCGGAGGGAGGTGCGGGCCGTGGCGCGGCAGACCCCTGTTCCCGGGCACAACCGGAAAGGAGCGGCCTCCGGCGGCGCGGCTCAGGCCCTGCCCTC